AAGAGAAGAGAAGAGAAGAGAAGAGAAGAGAAGAGAAGAGAAGAGAAGAGAAGAGAAGAGAAGAGAAGAGAAGAGAAGAGAAGAGAAGAGAAGAGAAGATCTCATCAATGTGTGTAAATATCTGAAGGGAGGGTGCAAAGAGGACACAGCCAGGCTCTTTCCATTGGTGCCCAGTGTGAGGACCAGAGGCCATGGGCACAAACTGAAACACAGAAATTTCCCCCTGAACATCAGGAAGCTGCCACTGTGAGGGTCACCAAGCACTGACATAGGTTGCCAGTTTTCAAAAGCTGTCTGGAAATGGTCCCGGGCAGCTGGGGCTAGGTGGCCCTGCTTGAGCACAGGAGGTTGGCCCAGATGACATCCAGAGGTCCCTCTCAACCTCAACAATTCTGTGGCTCTGTGAACCTCGTTGGTCCCACCACTGTGTGCTCTTAGCACATTGCTCTTTCACATCAGAAATTTCTTCACAATGAAGTGACATGGAGAAAAGGTGACCTCTTTCCAATTCCCAGCTTCTGGAGGCAGCGACAAGCAGAGCATTACCATACGTGACAGGAAATGCATATTCCCAACATGGTTCCCTGTGATCCTTGCCACTGGACGGACCAGTGATGGTGGGAACAGCATATCTGATGTGGGCAGAAAGACAGGATGGCTGAAATGCATTCTGAGGCCATGGGAAATTTGGATTCCTGGCTCTTCCTGTAGTCAAACCAGTCTTTCTGAGGGGAGAGCCATCTCCCATCTCCCTGGTAATTGCTTTTGTGGTAAATATAGTTGGGGCTGAATAATACTAAAAAAGACAGGTTTTCTGCAATTAATTTTTTTCAAAAGCAGCTAGGATTCAGCCAAATGCTAATGAAGCCAGAGGGAAATGGGTGCTGGGTCATTCCTGAAGCAATGAAAAAGATGTACCAGCAGTTTAAGAGCTGTATCATCTTATTCACAAAAGCAGACAGATACTGCCCTTTGCAGTCACTTGAATTTTCCATTAATTCTGCAAACAGGATCATTTAAATCCTGCACTAGTATTTTAATACTAAGATTAAAGACTTCCATACAGTGGGAAAGTCTAAACCAGAACTTGAAAATATTAATGAAGTGAATGAAAATGGGGTTTTTGAAAAATGTCTGAAATAACTTGTTTAGTGTGGAAAACAGGATGGAAAGAAAAGCAAAATGGAAAGAAACTGTGCAAGAGGGACTGCCTAATATTTTTTAAGCCCAGGTAGAAAAAGAGATGTAAGTACACAGGGGCATGCAGGGCTGTAAGTTGTGCTGTCAAGACTGGTCACAGGATAAATAAATGAGAGGGTCTAATGGGTTTGGCATGACAACCACCTGCAGGAGCAGCAATAAAGTAAGGCTGGGAGAACTTGATCACACGGAGCTACTGGGGGATAGATGGCAAACAAAAGTTTTGGAGTCTAGTGGCTTGCTTTGTGCCTCAGCATCTGTCTGAACAACTCACCAGATCAAAGAAAAATTTAAAAAGCCATTTCTGTCTCTGGTGGTTTTGGTTCTTATGTATTAAAAGGTTTTTTTTGTTTTTTTCTTTTTTGCTAAAGCCAAAAAGCATGCATTGCAAAAACACTGTGGCTGTTCACCGGATGTGTGTGTGTACAGCACAGTAAATTAAACAGGGAGAGTGTTAACGCTGGTGTAGGTGCTGTGATCCTCATCACACCCACTGCCACTCCTAAATGTGTAACTTGATTGATAAAAAAGCAAGCAGATGGAGAGCAGGCAGAGGAAGTGTGTTGTCAGTGCAGATGGGTAAATGTGATGCACAAGTACACTCACCTTGGCAGAACCCTAAATCTGCTCCTTTCATCACTCTTCAGATCTCTTGTTACAGGGATTTCCAGCAGGATTCTTTTCTGACTCACTCATACAAGACGTTGAACATGACAGAAGAGCTGGTGAGAAAGGGGATGGTGAAGAAGATGTTGGGCAAACAGTCATACATGTCTGAATCAGAGACCAATAATCTGTCTGTTGGCAAGTCATGTTTTTGTTCACTTGTTATTATGAAGCTAGAAGTTTGTTTTCTGATATTCAATTTTTATTTTATTGGTGGCTTTTGCGTTTTTTTACAAACAAGCCAGACAATCAGGAGAACAAAGCAAGACTGTGATGAAGAGAGAGCTAAAATGCAAAACACCCTTGTTTTGCTGGGGTCAGACCCCACTCAGGTCACTTCACTTGTGCCTTAGCTCAGCTCTGTGTAAAATGCAATTAAGGCTTTCCTTGTGGAAGTGGCTTGATGTTTTACTGCTGTAAAGCAACTTCATCTTAGGGCTTATATGGGGCTTACAGTTAACAACTGCACAGGGAGTTATTAACAACATTAACAACAACAGCAGTTTTAACAAATCAGTAATGTGTTTTGCACAGAATTCAACACTTTTCAAAGGAGGAAAATAGTGAGGCTGCTTTGGGATCGGCCTTGTTTTCCCCCATCTCCTGCCCTCTCTGGCCTAAAATCCTGGAACCAAACTTTCCAAGCAAAGTTGCTTTTCTTGTTACTTTAAAAACATCTTGAGAGCATACCTATTTTTCTGCTTATATTTATCCAATTTGCTTGTTGTTTAAGCAAGAGGAACTTTTCCTACAGCTTAGTGTGTTCAGAAGGGAGAACTTTCTGCCAAATCCCATTTCCTCCTTTCTATTTAAGCTTGTAAAGTTGTTGGTATAACCATTAATAACTGGTCAATGGTTTCCTTGGGGAAAGGAGCCCTGATCACTTTCAATGCAGAGGTGCTGTGTGAAACCTACCTTGGACTTGCAGGTTTTGGGGTGCTCCTGTCCCCATCTATAGGCAGTGGTGAGTGCTGGTCAGAGCTTGGCATCCCTCTGAATGAATGAGGCTTTCCACTTTCTGAGATCCTCCAGCGAAGTGCCCGGGTGGCCTGAAAATCCAGGTGCCCCCTCCCTATAAAAGCAACCTTTATGTCCTAGTTTCCCTCAACCCTGCACTTGGGTCAAAACAACCCCTTGCAGGACTACAGGCTTAGGGAAGAGTGTCTGGAAAGATGCCCAGAGGAAAAGGGCCTGGGGGTGCTGGTCAGCAGCAGCTGAACGTGAGCCAGAGTGTGCCCAGGGGCCAAGAAGGCCAATGGCATCCTGGCCTGGATCAGCAATAGTGTGCCAGCAGGACAGGGCAGGGATTGTGCCCCTGTACTCGGCACTGGTGAGGGCACACCTCAAATCCTGTGTCCAGTTCTGGGCCCCTCAAGACAAGCAGGGCATTGAGGTGCTGGAGCATGTTCAGAGAAGAGCTTACACCTCACCTTACACACACTGACTTTCTCAGCCCACCTCTCCCACCTGTAGGTACCTGCACCAGCAGAGGCAGGGGGGTATTGGCATCTTCCAGCCAAACCACCCTTCCAGCATCTTCTTATGAGCTGCAATTTTAAGTTTTCCCTTTGTAATGTGGCCTTGGCCAGGTCCTCTTTGCAGCCCAAATTTGCCTCCCCCATGGACATGAAGACAGCAGCACACTACCCAAATGCCTTGCCTACCTCTTGTTCATCCTTAACATGACGATACACTTAAAAAGCTCTGTGGTCTGTAGAGAGAACGATCAAACAAAAGCTTCTGAGTAAGTTAGTTGTGGCACAAATATATTGGCAGATGTATGAGGTTTTTAAATTCTCCTGCCGTAGTGAGAGGATAAAACTCCCAACACAAATGGCAACTCTGCAGCAAGATTCTGACATAATTACTGTAATTATATTGTCTCTGCACTCTCTTAGAAATCAGTGACAGTATGTATTTAATGAGCCCTTTCCTGTTCAGCAGGTTGCTCCCAGCCGCTCAGATTTGCAACTGCAATGCAGAAGTATCTTAAAATAAAATTAACCCTTGGAAGCAAGGCTCCTTTCTGCGAGGATGCTGGAGAGTCTCTCAGAGACTGGCACTGCACACTGGCACTGTTCCATGGCTGGAACACACAGGCTGGCTTCAGAGCAAGGGCTTATTTGCCTTGGTGAGTAGAATTTTGCCAGTGCTGCCGGAGTGAGCTGGGTGTGGTGGAGGGGAGCGCTGTGGGAGTGTAACCTGCTGCATCCTGCTCATGGGTGACACATGCCTCAGCCCACAGAGGTGATGCTGCAGGAAAGCCAAGGGTTGCTGTGACTTCCCCTAAGGTCTACTTAAAACACTACCCCACCAACCAAGCAGTCTTGCCCCCTCAGCTTCCCTAAATTGGGGAGTTCAAACTCGCACCACAAGGTGCAGGTTTGTCCTGAGGATGCTGGCACCTTGCTTTGGCTTCCTGCAGCATGGATTTTCTCCTTGGATCTCAGCTTGTCAAAGGAAAAAGGAAGAAATTTCAGCAGTCACATCTGAGCAACTCAGGATTTACTTAAGCATCAAAGTACCAATTCAGAGTTCAAGGCAAACATACACTAGCCTAAAATCTCTTCCTGGACTATATAATATTGTCTGACCAAAATTTTAGACATGAATTAAACTGTCCCTTAATATTTTTCCCCTTGCTAGTAACCAGATGTTCAGATGCTTTGCAGATTAAGGGGTTTCTGAGGCTCGTACTGGACGTGCAGTGACATCTCCTGGTGCCCCACGAGGTGAGGTCTGGCTGCTGAGTGGCACAGCCCCAGACCCAAACCTCCCCCTGGAGCACAGAACTGCTCAGCACTGACGAGCACACACCTCCCTGGGCACACACCTCCACCTGGGGGAAAAACAACACACACCTCCCCCACCACATCCCTGCACCTTCGCCTGCAGCACCAGGGGAGACTTCAGAAATCATCCTTTTAAACATGAAGGTAAATCAGTCATGAAAATCAGATCATTGCACGGAGAGCCTGTGGGCGGGCTGTACTTGCCTGCAAAGCCTTGGTGCTTTTAACTAGAGACAAGGAGAGGAGTTAATCTGTCTCCTCCTGTGCCTGTGTCTGTCTGGGACTCACATGTGAGCAGGATGTTTTGTGCTTCACCACTTCTTTTGTTGTGACTCTCAAACCATTCCCCACTGAAAACCAACAGGCTTGCTGTTGGCATCTTAGCAGAGGAAATTAAATCCGACATTTCAGTGTTATCTGATTTCACATCCCTGCACACCATTGTATAATTTCACCACCTACTCATTCTTTTTCTTCACACACAAGTGCATTTAGAGAAAATATAATTGTTGAACGAGTACTTAGTCAGAGAAAGGTTGTAATCAGCTCAGATAGAAATCAGACAGCTTATTTGCTTGAAAAAAAAGGGGAAAGGAGGAGGAAATTAAATAGAATCATTTCTTTCCTGTGAACTTAGGGCACCAAAAAATTGTGTGGCAAACTATAACAAGAGAAGAAAAACAACTGAAAAACTTAACAGGTAACAGTATTCCTGAGCTATTGCACTAAAAATATCATGGAAGTCAAAGATCTGATTCATTTAATGTCTTCTGTGTTCATTAAAAAAGAATTTAAAAGTTACAACAAAGGACTCACAAAGTTTTCCCAGAGCAAAATAACTGGATGGCCCCTGTAAATCATCAGATGTATCAACACTTACCATCACAGAGGCAGCAACTGAGTCGTGCTGGGAGAGCACGCACAATGCAGACACCTAAGAACAAAACTGGGATTTGAAACGTTGCTCCATATACTGTATTATCCATCAAAATACTCAGTCCTAGGAAAGAAGACAAGTGTGGCACACTGCTGAGCACCAAGCTTAGGGAGTCCACAAGTCCATCCTCTCAGGCACCTTCCTCCAGCTCTTTTGCTGCAGGGCCAGCACAGGCAGCAGCGCCGGGCAGGACCTCACCCTGCTGGGGCTGCAGGCAGTGGGCCCGGTGGGGACAAGGACAGTTTGCAATTACATTGCATGCAGACATGCAAACACTGAGCTCCACCTCATACACCACCCCCTCAGTGAGAGTGGATGTGATCCAGGAGCTCGTTTAACAAGAGCACATGACCACAAGTGTTAGGACTGTCACCTCTATTTCTTTTTCTTGACTATGTATAACTATTCTAACTTTCTCATAGACATTTTTGCCTTGGAGGTGTTGGTTGATGAGAAGTTTAACATGACCCAGCAATGTGTGCTTGCAACCCAGAAAGCCAACCATATCCTGGGCTGCATCCAGAGCGGCATGACCAGCAGGAGGAAAGGGAATTCTGCCTCTCTGCCCCGCTCTGAGACCCCACCTGGAGTGCTGCATCCAGCTCTGGGGCCCCCAGCACAAGGAGGACATGGAACTGCTGGAACAGCTGCAGAGGAGGGCATGAAGCTGATCAGAGGCCTGGAGAGCCTCTGCCATGAAGGCAGGCTGAGAGAGTTGGGGCTGTTCAGCCTGGAGACAAGAAAGTTCCAAGGAGACCTTAGAGCACCTTCCAGGGCCTAAAGGGGGCTACAGGAGAGCTGGAGAGGCACTTTTGACAAGGGCATGTAGTGATGAGACAAGGGGGAATGGCTTCAAACTGACAGAGGATAATTAAATATTAGGAAAAAATTCTTTACTGTGAGGGTGGTGAGGCACAGCACAGGCTGCCCAGAGAAGGTGTGGATGCCCCATCCCTGGCAGTGTTCAAAAACAGATTGGATGGAGCTCTGAGTAACCCAGTCTAGTGAAAGGTGCCCCTGCTCATGGCAGGAGAGTTGGACTAGATAAGTTCTAAGGACCCTTTCAACCCACACCATTTTATGATTCCAGGATTTATGCAAGTTTCACAGCCATTTAAAGCCTAAGACATTATGCAAATGTAATGACCAAAACTTATCCAGTTCATTTCAAGTATGAAATAAGTCAGGTTCTTCAGCACTTCTTGAAAACAGGATAGTGTGGTCAGTCCTCTACTCCAATAATTTTTGGTTCATACTACTTTCACAGAAATAAGAGAAAGCCCATCTGGGGAGAAGGTCAGGAGCTGGTGTAGGGCAGCTGCCTGCCCCATGGGAGGATTCACCTCTAACTAACACATTATCACCAAATATGTGTGTGATTGCCATCTAAAGAGACCCTCTCTGAAACATCTTCCAGTGCTCCACAATCTTTCCTGTTACACAGTTCCTCCCTGGTGACTAATCTAAATATTCTTTGGTTAAATAAGCCTATTATTTTCTTGTTCTATTCACCATGAACATAAAAGACACTGAAAAGATGAAAGGAACAAATTGTCCTCTTTCTATCTTGACACTTGTATTTCCTTATGGTATTCTGTAAGCAAAATTACTCAAATTCCATCAATCTTCTTCTATTTCTCATTCTCAAACATTCTCACGTTTTCTAGATTTCTGTTAAATCTCATTGTTCTTTTCTGAACTGTTTTTTCCTAACAAGCTTGACATATAAAACTAGACCTGTTGTTTCAGCTCATGCCTCTCCAGAGCAGAACAGAATGAGGTATTTTGTCATGTGGGTGATTCAATCTTTATACCTCTCTATGTTTATCTCCATTTTGCAGGATCACTGTGTTGTTAGAATGGGTGGCAAAATGAATGCCAGACAACTACCCGACCTTTTCCAGCCACGTTGGCCTTTAATTCCTCTCTGTTCTGTTTGCAAAGTTTCCTGGTTCTGTCCAATTCCCCAAAATGATTTTGAATCCTATTTCCACCCTTTAACGTGTTTGCAACCTCACCTGTCTCAACATGAAACAACACTGCCTCTTTTTCCCTCCTAAATATCCTGCCTAAAACAGATCACAAAGCAGTCACAAAACCTTGTGCATAGGTACCCTGCAATCCAACAATCTCTCTCTATGCCCTTTTTATTCTGAACCCCTCAATTAAAAAAAAAAAAAAAGAAAAAAAAAAAGAGACACACAGTCATTTGTTTAATTTTTTTTAAAAAACCAAAGCACATTTTTACTGTAAGGACTGGTAAGAAAATACAGAATAGTAAAACTTCAGACCCTCTTTCCCACAGGGACATGCACCTAAGGCATGTTTGAAAAGTGTGTGTTCTGTGAAAGTAATCTCTACTTATAGAGAGTTTTAAAACTGATTTGTAGTTATATTTAATACAGTGCTGAGAAAATGGGAAGACTCATCCAATGTTTTAAGAACAATTCTGTTTCTCTCTGA